GTGATGTGAAAGAATATAAAAAAATGACTTCCATAGCAATGAATACTAGCGAAGCCTATTATTGTAATTTTTGTTCTTCTCTTACTACAACCTGAATATGCCTTAGCCATATCATTAGTACAAACACAACAACGATATAATCGGTATATATTATTATTTAAGTGTTTAGAATAAATATAATTTTTTTTGCTTTCATAAAGTATTTTTTATCAATAAATAAATATTTGTTGTAGAGAGTTCTTCATGAATACTATTATATACGAAAATGATGCTTGCAATTTAGTAGAAAATGTATATTACACAGTACAAAAATATCAATTCTAATCGTTCTTTTGACCACCACTGTATGTCGGTTGCGTATCAGCGGAACTGAATCCTTCATTCTTCTCACTTCCGGAACTTTCGGTCATAATTGTCTCGTCGATCGACTTGTTGATTTAGGGGCTGCTGTTGTAATTTTTGTGCGGCTTCTCGTGCATCAGCCTCCTAAAAAATGATTAAATTTATTATATGGACACTTTCTTACGATGTAAATATCAAATAAGGTAAAGGCACCAGTAATTGACCTGGTATTAGTAGTTGACCATTTTCCAGGAAAACGCTAAAACTAAGGTTTTTAAAAGTAATAATCTTTCGATAAAGACGCGATACACTTTTACCTGAATTAAATTGCTTATCATAAAAACTAACGATTTATTTCATTGGCGTTGGTTGTATGACTCCACATTGCAATTTCTTTAACTTTGTTGTTAAGAAACGGTATATAATTCACTGTAAGAAATTCCTAAGCTTTTTACTCTTTATGGCTGAATTTCTCATTACTTAAATTGTTACAGTTTTATGTTTAATAAATGTCATGTTTTTGTTATCTGAGCCTCAAAGAACATAATTGAGAATAGGGTCAACTATTGAATCTTGTCATTCTTAGAATTTCTAGAAGTTGACAGGTATAATTGACTAATTAACATATGGTCAATTACTAGCTTTCTCGTTTTCAAGGATGGTCAACTTCTGACATGATGCAAACTCCGAAAATGTGTTTTCGGAGTGACAAACCAACAATATTGAACATGCGGTTTCGAGAAATCAGATAAAAACGAATTTACGTCTAATTGCTTGAGAAAGTGCAAACCAAAGAAATATTTATTACTGCAATGTTTTCCGATAGTTTTAGAAAAAATTAAAAATATAATCGCAGCATTGCATAATAGACATTATCTACTTTTCTTCATAGATTATCATAGATAGATTTATAGATTTTCCACGCGCCTAGATAGTTTTTCTTAAAAAATTTAAAGAATTTTTGCTTTCTGCTTGCTGATTTTTATTTCAGGAAAAATATTGCAGTAAAGAACATGTGTTTCAATTAAATCTATTTCAATAGATAAGTTATCAATAAATACTGATGATTAAACAGCAACTGTTTCATTTTACAACAAGCTAATATTGTATATTCTGTGTAGCTTCAAAAATATTAAAAGAATGATTACTTAATATTTCGTACAAAAGAAAGACTAGTTTAATTTGATATAACCAGACTGTACCGAGTTCACATTAATATAAATTATTTCAGAAATGTTCTTAATATCGTTATATTTGGATTAACTGTCCCTTGTAAACAAGAAAGCATCTGTATTGGTAGGTGAACCAAGCATACATTTTATAAAAACATGATATAATATCTGTGATGGGATATAACAACATTTTTAAAAATTCAGAAGCTCTATTATCATTATTTTTAGTATTAGATCGTTTAATAAAATCCCTCCAATTACTTAATATCATCTAATAGAAAAATGTACCGTCAAATCAAATTTCATAATCATTGCAGGAAAAGTGAACGAATCAGTTGAAGAAAAATGATTCAACTTAGTAAAATAATTTTGAGTTAAAATTCTAAGAGGAATCTGTTAATCCCTTCGCTGAAAATAGTGGTAATTCGGTAAAAATAAACATAGTGTTAGAAGTTATTCAATTAAACGGTAAACGTTGTGCGCGAAGAAACATGCGTGTTTGTAAATATAGAATGGAGAAGAGTAAACATCGTTGAAGAGGAGTAAGACGAGAAGTGGGAAGAATTGAAGATGGTAAAATGGAAAGAATGAAGAGAAAGTAGAAACACGAGAGTGAGAAGAAGATAACCCGTGGGTCGTACCTCTTGCTGACGAATGCCTGCAAAGATGAGGTCGAGGCCTTTCTGAATCTCCTCGCTGACTGGCGGTGGCGTGGGAATATGATCACCGGTCGCGTGAAAGCCAGTCTCGTCAGCTGTGTAGTGAATAGTGATCAGCTTCCCTTCGGGACTCGTATACGAGTAGCTTCCTTGTTGGACCAATGCCTCTCCTTGTTCCTCACCTTCGCCTACCTTCTTGATGTAACCACTCTCTTCTGCGATGATGCTGTTTCCCGTTTCATAACTACGAATAATTTATACGCATCAGATTTGAAATCGTCTTTGTGAGAATGAAAACGCCGCCCAACATCCGAATACAGTACGCACGGTATCGCACGGAATCTCACGTCTAACGTTCGCACGATTTTTATTTGCAAATTTCTTTTATTACAATATCACTAACGAACTCTCAGACAGTATGGAACAATAGAAAATTGAAAGTTCTGTTTGTGCAAAATAAATTAAACGTATTTGGAAATAACGTACCGAAATTAACAGATTTTATTCATAGATAATTGCAGTGAATAGAACAGAATTTTTATTTATTTTTTTGAAAGTATTTTTTCATTTCGTCTGTGACGAAAATATTCTTTGTTGAACAGGAAAACTTTTTAGTCGCATGTTATACGGTTTATATTATTATTAATTTATGTTATAACATTGTGTTAACTTTATTTTTACCTTAGTGGGATCTAGAACGAGCAGAATAAATATCTTTTTAATTGTACATATCGCTTGATTTTCGTGATACTCTTTATACACAGTCAGAAAATATATTTTTTGAAGGTAATGGTTTTTTAAAATCATTGTATTCTTTATGAAGATAATGACCTCAATTAAATTATAAGAGACAGCTTGAGCGTTTTAAACATGAAAAATATATATTTTTATCAAATATATAGGATCTTCTCTTAAGTACATTTTTTTGTACATGCAAACTCCATTTATGCAATTTTTAACTGCGTAAAAACTGTATACTTACAATTTAAAAAATTGACTATCAAAAATCGCGACTAATTTAATGAAATTTATCGTTTATAAAATTTTTAATTATTAATATTTTTTTATTACAACTTGTTTCACTGTATCATTTGTAAAATACACGCATCAGAAGCATTATTTTCGAGATATTCATCATTCTAATCAAGAAATACAAAAGTAGCAAAAATATATAATAATGTAATAATTAATTGTTAATTCAATGGGCGATAAGGGTATAACAAAATTAAATATAAAGAAATAATGTACTTTTTAACGAAAGATGACTGACATTGCCATTTGCAAAAATCTCATGAAATCTCTGGTCTCTTTTTATCTTTATTCTTTATTTTTATCTTTATTCCGATGAAACGCAGCAAAATAATGTGTAATACCTCGTTTTATATGTTCCATCATGTTCTTGCTGTTTATTCCAGTGCAATATCGGAACAGGTGTTGTACTTTGGGGTTTTCTTTCATCAGCTGGAGGGCTTGGCCTGTCGTTATCGTGATAATTACGTGCATGGTAATTCGGATCTTGCGCTGCTGCCAATCCCAAAACTATAGCTAACACCTGGCACAATAAAACTTGCATCAAACATAATGTCATGTTAACGGGTACACTGTGCGACTATAGTGGTGACTTAATGTCATGAACGATGCAAATATGTATTGTATGTCTCTATATGGAAATGCTTGGGATGAAACGGAATTTTAGTAGGGCAGACGATTGAACAACGGTATTTCCATTGTACCATCCATCCACGGAGAGGTAGCAAGATGAGTGAAAGTGAGAAGCAAATGCCAGCACAGGTCATTTACTTCTGACCTGTGAAGAGTTCGCAAACTCGTTAATTTAGTTTTCTTTGTTTTGCTTCAAGTCACCTACTTGTACATCATAATTAGACTACCAATCTTTTCTGAAATACACGAATTTAATGAAACATTTAAAGAAAGAAAATTACAAATTAGGTGTAACTTCATTTTATTCGCTATTCATTTCACTGAATTAAAGGTGAAAGAAAAATGTATCGTATTTCATCGACATTTCTATAATATTTTACAAGTTTTTTCAGATTTTTATAAATATTTTAAACTTAAGCTACAACAGTTAATTACACGCAACGGAGAGTCACTTTTAATTTTCGATTTTTAGGTCTCAAGGCTTTCTTCTCAGTTATATTTTTTGTTCTAGAAATATGTGAATTAATTTGACAAACTGTATATATTGTAATTACATTACAGTTACATTTTCTTCCTAAAGTGAATATCAATTTTGAAGCCGAATGATTTATAAAATATAAGAGTAGACATTTTTTGTACAATGTTACTTCAATTTTAAAACCACTTGTACAAATAAGTCAATCAGAATATAACAATTTAAATGGAACAGTTATTAGAGAAATTCTTTAGTAGAAATTGTAGCCCTAAAATACATTATACATTTGGAGTTTTATTAAATTATAAAAATTGTATAATTTCATAAAGTTTACACTTATGTATTACAAGAAATTGCGTTAACTGTAATGATATGTCACAGTTACGCACAAAAATATAATTTTTTAATATTATATTAAATATAATATTAGTAGTAACGGTAGTAACATTTATAGGGAAAACTCTAAATTTCAAAAGTATATTGGATTGAATATAGTGGATTAAATAGCATGGTGACCTTCCGAAGTCTGATAATAGAAAGTGTATGTTATAAATATAAACAGTGATTTTGTATGAAGGAACATTGTTTAAGCGAATTAAAATATATCAATAGCATACAAATAAAATATTTCATAGCTTTATAAATTAAAATGGCAGAGTGTTATATTTTGCAACAGTTCACATAAAATTATAGAATAATATAATGACGGTTATCGTTCTTTATAATGTAAAAGTATAATGCCATATTAGTGTATCTACTCCTGATAATATATCTGAAATTCATTTTGTATAATACTCATAAAGAAAGAGCGTAATTAAATGAAGAATGAGTGAAACACTCATAATTAAAGGATCATCAATTGCTATTTCTCATAATCAAGTATTTTAAACATAATCAACATATTTTACTGCAATTACCATTGCCATTTCTATAGAAAATTCTGTTAGTTTTTAATTTTACATTGAAATTTTTTTTTAAGTTTTATTTCTATGTACCGTGAAGTTACTAATATATGGATACGAATACACACGTTAATATGAATGAAAGAAATGTTACGGATCATAACAAATTGAACTGAACGTATTATATAACGATTACTTACGATGCTCTTCATCTTGGAACAAGGAGCTGTTGCACAAAAAGGAGATGCCGATTGGGTCCAGACGTTTGTGACTTCACGAAAGTAAAGAATTCACCTTTTATACCAACTCTCACTTTATCCCCACTTGGATGGTGATGAGCCTCTCAAGATAGTCTGTACACCTGATTACAAAAACCTTTATACGTACGTTGCTTTATAAACATGCGTGTAACCATTAAATGGTATAATAAAATGATCGTTTAAAATACTTACATTGTAGATTATTAGTATCGCTGTATTGACCTACAAATTACATTAAGGTAATATTTTTTCATTCATACTTGTTACATAATATGCACATGTAACACAAAAGTATCCTGCGGATACATTTGTAAAATTTTCGTTTCTATGGTATGGCGATATAATTTCGTAATTTTATCAACATATAATTCGTTGCAAACATTTATGATATAAAATTTTCTATTAGAAATTAAATGTTAGGCACACGTAGCGTGTAACAATTACCCTTAGTTGCAAACAAAAATATTGATACAATCACTTTTTAATTATGTAATCGCACCTGAATCTATAAGAAGCGATATTATATTCGTTACCTTATAAATTATATTTACTAGATTCATATTTTTAAAGTATCATATAAGTTACGCTTTAACCACATAGTGACACGACAAAAGACAAGTATAAAATATACTTATTAACGGTCATTTTTGTGGAAAAAGAAGTATTAACAAAAATCTTATAATTTTATACTACAGGTTGTTAAATAATATAGAATTATTTAATATTATGTGTTTACTTCATATTGAAATTCTTTGTCTCGGGTGACGTTTATTTGTAATATTATGATATTAAATACGCTTTCTTAATTCAACCCAAAGATATGAGGTCTAAATTTGAAAATAAGGGTGACATGTATTAAAAATAATCCAATAAGATATACTGTGGTGAGTCAAGTTTAGAAGGTATAGGACTTAGTGCTAGTATCTTGTTGAAAATGAAACTTTTCCTTAAATTTAGTATTTGAACATTTGATTCGAAATTTCTAAAATTCTAACATTCGTTTTTTTCATCTATCATTAATAAAAACAAATTTGTCAATACTACATATACGTGTAACTTCAAAATCATTGAAGTTTAAATGGAAATAAAATTGAAATAGATATTTTTCTTTCTTTGTGATCGCTTGTGATCGTTAAAAAGTGGTGTTTTTTCAAATATCTAATGATGAAAAATAAGAAATACGTAATTAATTATACATTACAGTTTGTAGTATAGTCATAAATCACGAAATCTTTCGTTTCTGTAATATGCCAGTAGAAAATAAATGATTGGTAACATAGCACTCATAAACGTTAAATACATAAAGAATTTTATTTTCAATGTATGATCACAAACATGTAAACAGAATTTACGTGATCGAGCAACTATACATATAAGAATAATGCGTAACATTAAAATTGAATACTAAATTATGACAAAATAACGAAGCGTCCAAAAAATATTGTTACAGTGGATAGTTATTGATTGTGACATTACTTTCTAGTATAGTTACCATGACACGACTGCGGAACATAAGTAATAATTCAATAAATAGTATTAGACTCACATCTTTATTACATTGTTAGCATTTACAAAAGACAAATTGTTGTTTGCCTAAAATATTAATAACTTTTAACTGTGCATAAATGAAGGTTGATTCTGAACATCTGCTTTCGATATAATACGTGTATGTTACCGCCGCTTGGCTTCAATTTCGGAGACATTTATAAAAATATATGTTTAGATTTTTAAGCAGCGAACTTCACTGATTTCAACGCTTTCTAGATTTGTAACGCGTAATCGATAATATAAACTTCAATAAAAGACATTTAAGTCTTTTTATTGAAAGATGTTATTGGTTTAGGCGTGAGATATACCTGATGTTACACTTGTAAACACTCGTAAATTAGTATTTCACGAGTCTGTACTGTATCTACACATACATTCCAGTTATTATTGTGGCTGCAGTGTCTAACAACTACATAGTGTCTCCTCCACATAGTAGATATATATATACTAATCCAACTGTAGGTATAGATATCACCTAAAGCCAAAACTAATTTAACCAAAAATTAACTCAAATATTAAACCGAGTTAAAAAATATTTATATCATTAAATAATAGATAATGGTATTAGTTGGGCTAGTTTCTCTGGAATGGGGTGAGACGGCAGAGAAGGGCAGAGACTATTTAAATTATTATATTATTATTAATACTTCCTAATACTGCAGAAACTCTTCAATTCTGATAGAATTGTTGATAATTATAAAGTCAAAGCGTGGGCGAGAAAGGGGCGGAGCCTGCTCTTCCACTCCGGAAAAACTAGTCCGACTAATATCTAAACGAAGTTCGTGTGCACATGTTACAAGAAACAATTTCAATAAATGAAAATGAAGACCAAAATTTCTACCGCGATGCGAAACTTTAATGCTTTATCACTTTTGAACCAATACTAACTGCTAAAAGGGTTTAAGTTCTACGTCTATAAAGCAATCACGTTAACAATACATATCAAGATGAAGTTCATACGAGGGTTACTCTTTTTGTACACATCTACAATAACTGCTCATTCCCGGACATATTTTTGCGAATATCTGGAGAACCAAGGTTGAACGGTAGTAACATTTATAGGGAAAAGTTGTTCAGAATGATGACCTCAACGACCTGTTACAGGGTCATTCAAATCATAAATAATAACCATGAATTTACGCAACAAATTGACTTTTTCATAAATTATTCAACATTGAGAAACTTCTCAAAAACATTTCAAATACTGTACTTGTCATTTATTTGAGTGAATTACAGTAATTTGATTTAGTTGTGGATCATTGGTGATTCGCATATCATTCAACGCGTTCAGATAATAAACGAAATAAGAAAGTTTATTCTTTTGTATATAAAATGTCCATACAAATACAATGTATACAATATTACGAGGTCATTAATATCAGTAGATTGTATAAGGAATAAGCAACAAAGAAATAATAGACAAAATTTGTTATATATTCATATAAAGATTATGTTAATAGTATCAATAGTAAGAACGTCAATAAGATTTTATTTATAATATAAAAATAGTTTAATTCTTTATGTTGTTATTGTACACTTATATAAATTTTTCTTACTCTAGATTTTATTCGATGTTTCGGTAGGTGACGAAACCCGTCAACGGCACGTTTTATCGCTGTCGCATCGAATTCATGCAAGGATATGCAGCACATTGAAATTCTACGAGTGACCTGAACAGGGAACGAAGGGAGCGAGGTAAGAAAGAGACAACGAAATAAGAAGAAAGAGGAAAAATCTTGGGATCTCTCGGCTGTAAAAGATCCAGATACATAGTCTTCGAAATCGATACGCTGTGAATGCTTTGTTGCTAGATCGTTCTCAAAAGTTTTCTATTCGAATACCATCGTTTTTGTGAATCTTCGATTTCATAAATAGTTTCTGCAAGTGCAATGTATACGCGATTGAAGAGATGCAGCCGATTCCAGTGTAGAAAGAATGTGTGTACGCAATTTCACTGTGGTAGCTTTATGGAATGCAGGATTGTATCGCACGAATGTCAACCAAAACCTTTCCGAGACATACCAGGACCCAAATCTTTACCTATTATTGGAACACTGTACAAATATTTACCGATAATTGGTAAGTACCTTAATTTACATGTGAAGTATATGTATAATTGTATCTTCAGATTTTAAGCTTTCATTAAAATATTTAAACTTTAATATATGTAAAGTATCTATTTAACAAAATAGGACTTTTCTCAAGTTTTTATTGTTAAAAATTGTATCGATCGTGCTCTTTCCGATAATATAGAAATGTAAAAATAAATTAAAGTAACAAAACTTTCATGCTACTTATACTTGATTACAATATAAATATTAAAGTATTTTATAATGAAAAATTTTTGTTTCCTCTTTGTCGACAAATTACAATCGTGTTACGAAATCGAAAGTACTTATAAATATGATTAAAATTCGATTATATTAATATTATTATATTAAATGGTAATATAGGCGAGTACAATTTTACTAAACTATATGGTAGCGGAGTCAAGAAATTAAAACGATTTGGGCCGTTAGTCCGTGAAGAAATCGTACCCAACGTAAATGTTGTATGGGTTTATCGACCAGAAGATATAGCTGAGATTTTCAGAGCAGAATCCGGTTTACATCCAGAAAGGAGAAGTCACTTAGCTCTTTTAAAATACAGAAAAGATCGAGCAGATGTGTACAGTACAGGAGGCCTGTTACCCACGTAATATGCACCTCACACGTTTATAATTTAAAAAAAAATAGAAATTACAAATTTTGTTAAACTTTATTTATCATTTATATTAAGTATTTTCTTCAATTTAATAATTAGAACACTATCACTAATATTACCATTGTCAACCAAAAATTTATGCAAACGTATTCCATATACCTATTATCATCTTCGCATATTATTTAATATTAAAGTATTAAATGAAATATAAATTAATGAAAATAATCAGTAAACCTTTTACTTTGTTTTTAACGAATATCATAAATTGATGGAAATAGTAGGATATCTTTTATTTAAACTATATTTGATAATGTTATAAGTGAAATAATTTATAACGTTATTTAATTTTAGTTTAGACCTGTTGTAGTCAATCTTATTACAAGAAAAATGCAATTATAAATGAAGAATATGAATATCTGATATTAATCTTGAAATTACATATTAAATATTTAGAATTCAAATAGATGTATTTAAAATAAATAATAATATTTAGTTATTGCAGTATTACATTGTATTATTGAATACAAATAATTTTGTATGAATTGTAGGAATGGACCAGAATGGTGGAGATTACGAAAAGAATTTCAAAAAGTTACAAGCAAACCTCAAAATATAATAAATTACATAGAGGAAACAGATCATGTTGTCCAAGAATTTGTTGCATTATGTAACAGAGAAAAATTTGAAGACCTATTACCAATTTTATCACGTTTATTTCTTGAATGTAATTGCGTATTGTTATTATTTACTAATTAATTACAAAATTTGTAAAAAAGTAATTAATGTAATTTTGCAATTGCAGTTAATTATGTTATTACTTAAATAGTTCTTTATTGAATTCATTAAAATTTTCTTATTTTAGTGACATGTTTAGTTGTCTTTGATGTAAAGCTGAACAGTTTCTCAGAAGAAGAAAGACATAAATATTCAAGGAGTTCTAAATTGATTGAAGCTGCTGTCACGACAAACAATGCAATTTTAAAGCTGGATAATGGTCTACAATTATGGAAGTTTTTCGAAACACCTTTATATCGGAAATTGCGTAAAGCACAGTCATATATGGAATCGTAAGAATAAATCTTTTTAAATAATGAAATTAATAAAAAATATAATACGTAGTACTTGAAATTAAACATATACGAAGTTTGAATGCAACATTAAATTGAACAAAATATAAAAAGTAATTTATGTGCAGAATGTTTAGATCTGTTGAGTAGGTTCCTGAATTTCTGAATTTAATTTTCTTATTTGCAAATTACAATAAAATATGATATGATATACATTTTATGTTTTACTAATGCATTAGAGTTGCATTAGAACTTGTATCCCAAAAAAAGGATAAGGATGCTCGGCGAAACAAATCATTTCTAAGTGCTTATTTTGAAAATTCTGCTTTGGATATCAAGGACATTGTGGGCATGGCTTGTGACATGCTACTTGCTGGTGTAGATACTGTAAATATCATGATACACGAATAATATGCAATATTTTTTAGTAATACATATTTAACAGAAAATATTTTAAAGATTAAACCTAAAATAAACTAAATATGATTATACAATTAAATTTTTTAATTTTATATTTATAAACAGAGAATATTTGTTTCTAATATTACTACTGTAAGCAATGTACAAATTAACCTATAACTTTAGATTATTTCAACATATTTTTAGACCACCTACAGCACTGCATTTATCTTGTATCATCTTGCAAAGAATCAAGATATTCAGCAGAAATTGAGAGCCGAAGCTATAGAATTACTACCTCAACCTAATCAACCGATAACAGCAGATGTTCTACGCAGTGCATCATATACGAAAGCTGTTATAAAAGAAGGTTTAAGATTAAATCCTATTTCTGTTGGAATAGGCCGCATCTTACAAACTGATATCGTTCTTAGTGGTTATCGAGTACCTAAAGGAGTAAGTTTTCAAAATTTATGATTTTATAAAGTAATTGCTTAATTTCATTTTTATATCTATTTATAGTTTTAAATTTATAATAATTTTAATATTATGAATAAATAAAATAAATATATAATTGTATAATAATGTATTTTATTTTTTAGAGTGTGGTTGTGACACAAAATCAGATTATTTGTAGACTTCCTGAATATTTTTATAATCCAAACTCATTTATACCAGAAAGATGGCTTCGTGAAAACTCAGAAAGTAAAATAAGTTGTGGAAAACCTATACACCCATACATATTGCTACCATTTGGTCATGGTCCTCGCTCTTGCATAGCTAGGCGTTTTGCTGAACAAAACATGCAAGTACTGCTATTAAGAGTAAGTATCTATTCTCTTTTAAAATAAATTATGATTATGAATTCTGTATGCAGTACTATATATATTATAATATATTATAAAGTTAGCAGCAAGTAAACTGTAATTTAAGAGACATGTTACTTATAACGAATTTGAAACATTTAAACAATGATATCTACAGTTATCTATAGTTATAGTATCTATAGTATGTTATCCAAAAAGAAAAATACGCTACCAAATGAGGAGGGTACACTCCAAAACGAATAGTTCTTAATTTTCGTAGTGGTTGAGTCGTATAGTGTATTACATGTAGAAGTCCAATCAGAAGGTACATTTGACAAACCTCCCCAGTCATAAATGGACCAGTCGCTGTCTTCTTTAAATTGCTGCATATAGCGCATGGTCTTTGCCATTACAACCAGTGTTCCATCAATCCTACTGGCGTAGGTAGCTTCGAATTGTAATTTCTTTGAATCATGCTGTGGGACATTTGGTTCAAATTGGGTAGTCGTTACAGCCTGAACTAACGAGCCTTCTTCTCCATCCGGGAGAGGCTCAAGCTTTACCTTGCTCCCGTTCAATATCATCTGTATGCCGCTCATCAATCCAGAAATGAACGGTATCGCAGGATAAGCATTTAGATCATCGTTATCATCTGACACTCCACAACGTGATAACCATTCTGCTTGGTGCGTAGTTAATTTTCTGGCTTCACGATATCCGAGAAGACTCCGCGTAGGCATGCCTCTTTTGATGTCATTGGGAACCATGTCGTCGGGCAGGTCCCACGCAGAACTCAACTCCTCATTATTTGTGTATTGGAGATCAAATTGTATTCTACGCAGATAAACTGCTAAGCATGGGTAGGCTGCATACAAATAATGTGTGTTAGGTCCTACTTGACCGAACCAGCCAACGCTGCCGTCCGCTGTCGACTTCAGGTATTGACGACGTTTTGCACGTATTCGCATTTCTTGCCCTGTCTCTAATGTTGTGTTGCCAAACCCTTTTAAATATAAAGATATTATGGTTGGAGGCTGAAAACGTCTGCAATAAACTTTTCGTATGAAATCTGTTTCTTCATGTGTAATTGGTTCGCCTGATATATAAAGTGTTTTAAGCAGGCGGGCATAAGCCAAGACAGCCACATAATAAACAAACGCGGATTCCGGAACCATCTGTGCAAAACTCGTTTGTCCTGCAAGCATTTCATATGTCGATTCGGTTATGTCTGGCAAGGCGTAAAAACCTGGAAAGTGCACTAATTCCGGAGGAATTGGCATAACACATTTCGTGTCAGGCAAAAGCGGCAGTGCATCTATATACAATGGATCATCTTCAGGCTCTCGGTGTATATTCTTGTGTTCAGACATGAAGAATAGAAGTATTCTTCCCTTTTCAAGTATCCCTATTCAAAAAAAATAAAGTGGGATAAATGGTAATATAACTATAGTTATATAATATAATATATAATATATCAATGTTTAATAAATTATGTATGTATAATTAAAAATTTGTTTAAATATTTTTTTATGTTGTCTTAAATATGAGAATTTTATTGAATAGTATTTAACAAATAAAATAATACTATTTATCGTTATACTATTAAGATAAGTTATTAAACTAAAATTAAATTCTTTTATCACACATAGAACAATAAGTAGTGAAAGATCTGTCTACTTATTTTCAGTGATAGAAAAATGCATTCAACTGGTTTCATTTACAAGAGACTTAATCTGATGTCAGTAGTTTTTTCTGAGCAGAAACGTAGATCAACTTCGTTTTTATAAATGGAATAATATGTTTTCTTTAATTACTTTATAATAGAGCGTTTTAAAATGCATGCAGTGACCTATAGTTAAATGTTATTCAAAAATAGTTGGAGGCCAACTACAGTGAGAAATAATAATTTATTTCAAGGAACTATTTGAATATTTTCGCACACTTTATGGTTGTAAACTGGAAAAAAATATTTAATTCTCCTTCATACCTTTTTATAGTCATAAATATTATATTACTTCGCAATATGTTATCAACCAAAGAATGACTCAAATTTCTGATCCCAATACTTTAAAATGTCTTAGTCAGAGATAGAGAAAGTTTATTTTGTACTCATAACAGTTATCATTAAATTATGAAAGAAGTACCTATATTTCTATGAAAATTAGACACAATTGATCTAAATGAAATTCTATATTATTTATATCAGAATAAAATGGAATAGAACGTCACAACCATTTTAAATACTTGTATTAGCAGTGCATGTATAAACAAATAAATAAACAAAGTTGACTACTGAACCACTTCATTGTATATGTTGAAGTGCTCTATATGAAGGTAAATAGAAAAACATATTATTCTAGGCATTCTTTATGTTTGCTTTACATGGGTATTTATATACAAAAGTACGATTGACATTAGAATATAAGCTTCTCTTTGAAAACAATCAAGGTCTGACTGATGCAATTTTCTTATCACTAAACATGGAGGAATTATAGATACATGTATTAAATAACCTAAAACTATATAACAATGAAAAAGAAGAATGACCCTAAATTATACTTCTGTGAATATAAAATATAATCACAGTTTTTGAAAATTGTTATTTCGTAAAAAAAATACTAAATACATTTAAATACCCAATATAAAATCTTACAAACATAGCATCGATATAAATAGAATATGTCATGAAATACAACTAAGTATATAATAAATTTTAATTTATTCCATACAGATATGCAGCCAACTTCAATTTTCCTGGCATGGTGATGAACTTGGAATGATATCTTTGTTAATAAACAAACCTGATGGCCCAATGAAACTTCAATTTTGTAATATATTAAACACAGATTCTAATACTACTTGAAACAGTAAAAAGAAATACAGAATTAAGAAAAAAACATGTTCCATTTTTTTAAGCATATCTGAGAATTGCATTAATTTATCAATAATTAGTAATACAATGTCCTTGTATAGATGTTTATTCCAAATTTTCTTCTTCTTCACTTTTTACTTCTTGCATATCTTGCCTTAAATAATCAGGAATTTTTGAATCTATTTATCCTTTTTAAGTGCTTCAATAAATGTGTGCCTTTTAAACTTACGTTAATTAATTAATTAAGTTGCGAGATTGAGTTATTCCTTTTCCTCCTCTAAGCGAAGCAGATTCTGTTCCTAAAGGTTGACCAGCTTTACTTTAGATATTCAATGAATTAATCATTTCTGGATAACGATACGTACACCGCATAAACTAACAAGGAGAGTGCAAGGCCTTCAGGTCACCGATTTCATTGAAACTTTGCATATTGATAGATTTGGTTCTCCTATTTATGAATATATACCATTATATGGGCAGATACTCAATAATTTTTTAGATATTCGTTATTAAAAATTTATCCCCTTAATAAGTACGGTATTAATCAGATTACTCACAAAGTTGAATAGTGGCATAAATGTAACGTTCTGGAATTGTACTCTGTAGCCAGGATTCGGTTCCCCATGGTAAAGAAATATTTTTCGATTTTTTTTATTTAAATTAATTCGATTTTGTGCATTTAATATATATTAAAATATATAATAAATATATAATAAATTTATTATATTTTATAGTTCAAAACTATATTTCATAAATAAACAATACTTTAATAGAAATTACAGTCTTCTGGTGTGTCTTTGTCCTAAGGAATGTAATAATACTACGCCTACAAATAAGTAGCATATCATAAACACAAAGTTTAATTATAATACTCACCGTGAATTTATATCTAATAGGAAAATACAACTCTAAAAATTAAGTCTTGCATGGTATGATACTGATAAAACTACTTTACACTCCGTGCATTCCCACTTCGTTTCCCTTTATATTTTGCGTTTATAACAAACTTTACACGTTCTAATTGGGTTTTTCTTTCGAGGCGTCGGATCGATGTTTTTTGGGAAATGAGCCCAATATTATGCTTGGAGTCGAAGAGGTGTTTCACCTAATGTAGGTTTCCCACGTATTTTGCAGTCCGGTAACTGGAAAAGAGTCTGACTCGTGATGTTTACGTTTGGCCCGATTTTCAGTCCACGAGTCTGACTCGTGTTATTCATGTTTGGGCCAAAATCTTCATCACGAGTCAGAGTCTTTAAAGTACGGGAAGGGGTTAATACCACTCTTTATTATCTAAATGATGTACGAGTAAATACACATATTATAAGGAACAACTTCAATAAATGAAAATGAAGACGAAAATTTCTAGAGCAATGCCGAACCTTTAATGCTTCATAACTTTTGAACAATATATATCAAGATGAAGATCATACGAGGGTTATTCTCTTTGTAAATAAGTACGAAAACTCCCCATTTCTGGACATATTTTTTGCAAATCTCTGGAAAACTAAGGCCGAGTGGCAGTAATATATATAAGAGAAAGTTGTTCAGAATTATGACTTTGACAATTTATTTCAAGGTTAGCCAAATTGATGAGAAATGAGTACTGTTAATAACTACCGAAACATTAATCAAATACTACTTTAAACAGTATAAAGAAATACAGAATTAAGAAAAGAACATTTTCCATTTTATTAAGCATAATTAACGGTTAAATTAGTTCGTCAATAATTCGTAATACAATGTCCTTGTATACATGTTTATTTTAAATTTAGTATAGAAAATTTGATGATATATTTAATTATAAGTCATATATTTAGGAGTTGCAGAGAACTTAGCGTATGATTTAATGACTTTGTTCACTGCTTCAAGAAAATCTTTTTCGGTAGCTACTTTACGACGTGCGCGAATAGCAAACATGCCTGCTTCTGTACAAACAGAACGAATTTCAGCACCTGTACTATTAGGACATAAACGTGCGAGTAGTTCAAATCTGATATCCCTTTCGACACTCATTGAACGTGCGTGAATTTTGAAAATATGCGTTCGGCCTTCTAAATCTGGTAAACCAAACTCTACTTTTCTGTCTAAACGACCAGGTCTCATCAGTGCTGGATCTAATGTATCTGGTCTATTTGTTGCCATTAATACTTTAATATTCCCCCTTGGATCGAATCTGTAATATTAAGATCATAACTATTAGTAAGCAATATATTCAACACAGTCGGAATAATAGAGTTTATCTTACCCATCCAATTGATTGATTAATTCCAGCATAGTACGCTGTACTTCATTATCACCTCCAGCTCCATCATCAAATCGAGCTCCTCCAATAGCATCAATTTCATCAAAGAATATTAAGCATGCTTTTTTACTGCGTGCCATTTCAAACAATTCTCGTACCATACGAGCTCCCTAGTATTAGTATCAACGCAATATATTTATTTTGTAACATTCCAGACTTATTTATGGTAATTATTTACTTTAACGGCAACTGCACCAATGATATTGACCTTATATGTGTTATTAATGAAATGATTATGAGCAACCTTTTTTAATAAATTATTTCATAGTCTTTTGTGGTTTCCAAAATATTCATTATAACAGTTTCAATATTTTGCTAATTATTTACAAAGAAGTACATTTCATTGATTCCAATGACTTTAAAATATGTTGTCATGGACGTAATTCTGAAACATTTTTCTCCTACACATATAACACACAATCCCTTTTTAAGATATTCACAAAAATACGTCTGAGAAAGAGAAGCTATCGTAATTATTTAGATAAAAGTTTAGTTATGAACATTAAAATTTCGCATTATGCTCAGACCTTTCACTTTCACATTCATTTATTGATGTTGTCTTTTACAATATGTAGGTACACACGACTGTCATTTTAATAATACAAATTTGTATTCGTGGAGCTATTTCTTTCGGAGCAGGAGTGTAAAGTGTACAGCAAAACTTCTCCCCTGCCCACATTGTCATTTCATCATTGCAAAAATCTTTTGAATCTGACAGGCTAATTGGTAATTATCATGTGATAATGTGAGCGTGAGAATAGCGACCTGCACTTCCATCTCGAAAAAACTAGTTTTATGAATAACAATTTCACTAAACAACAAGATCACTAACCTACATTACACTTTATAATATTGAACAGATTTTTTCATATACATATCTCGGAAATTATGATTGAGAGATGGTTACATGTATAGAAAAAAATTGTCCAAAATAATGTCCATAACAACAAATTTCAAGATCATTAGAATCAGTGAAGTGTACCTTCTTATAAACAATTAGCAAAATATTGAAATTATTATAATGAATATCTTAAAAATAAAAAACCTCAAAATAATTTATTAAGAAAGGTTATTCAGGATCATATCTTTAGTAACGTACATGAAGGTTAAAGTTATTTAAGTGGAGTATGTTACAATAAATATTTATCTCATTTGTATTTAATATGTTTGACATACCTCACCAACATATTTTTGAACCAATTCAGAACCAATCACACGAATGAAACAAGCATCAGTTCTATTAGCTACAGCCCTGGCACATAAAGTTTTACCTGTACCTGGAGGACCAAACAATAATACTCCTTTAGGTGGTTCAATTCCTAAATTAACAAATTTCTCTGGCTGAAATGAAAGTACATTTTCTTATAATTATTATTAAATGTACTATGACAACAATGAAATATAATAATATAAAATACTAACATGTAATAGAGGAGTTTCAACAACTTCTCTCAATTTTTCAATTTGTTCCTTACAGCCACCAACATCACTATATGTAACATCAGGTTTTTCCTCAACTTGCATCATTGTTACACTTGGATCAATTTTAGGTGGCAATGGAATATGAATTTGGTATTTGTTGCGATCAACACCTACTCGCATGCCTTCTTCAATATCAGTTGGAGCTACTGATTCTGCCAAATCTACTACAAATTTTGCAAATTGTTTCACATTTATAATGTATTTTGGATCAAGAGAATCAGCATTTATTATTTTAGTGCAACGAGCAACTTGCAAAGGTTGTTCATTTTGTAACGTCTGTTTATCCGCAGCTAAATCCCAAAGAGCTGGAGGTGCTAAACCAGTATCAGACTCTTTGATTCCTGTTAATTCATTTACACGTTTAATTATTGTTTGAATATCTTCTTCTACTGTTTTAATACTCTTTGTATATTGTCCTTGGCCCTTTATAAAAATTATTATCAATATATTAAAAATTATATTTTTCATAACAAGTATTATGTTATTTGTATTATTTTTATAAAATTTCACTTACATAAGTTTTAAGTAAAGCAATATCTCCTTCGTCCAGAGCTGAAATTATTGTTTTAAATAATTTTGACATACAATACGTGATTTATATACAATACAACTTACATTTTATTTCTTTTTCTTCTTTTTCATCTTCACTTTTTACTTTTCGCATGTCTTCCCCTAAATGATCCGGCATTTTTGAGTCTGATAAAATACTTTAGATATTTAATAAATTGATTTTTTCTACTTGTTAGCAAAGGTATACCGCATAAACTAAATTTGAGGTTATATCTTCATTACATTACCAGCAAAATTGTACCTTCTGTCACTGACATCTACTTGTACATTCTGAACTACTAGTTTTTAAATTGATATTTGTGACCATAGAGATAAGGAAGAATGTATGTTTATTGATTAAATTCCGAAAATTATATAAATTTTATATAATATTCTTCATTATAAACAACAAAAACAATACACCAGAAGTAAAAAATCTAAAAATATAAAAATATAAAAAAATGAAAATAAATGCTTCTATTTAAAATTATCGGTTAGTTACTTTTCTTCTGTATTTAAAAATTGTTCATAAATAAATATTAAATGTAAAAATATTTGAATTTTTAATTTATTTGTTAATTGTTAGTCCTTATTAGTGCTTCTAAAGAGAAATCACAAATAACAAATTGAATAAAAATAAGTAGTCTTAGCTTCAACATGTCGCAAATAACAAAGAGAAGTTCATAAAGGAAACATTAAATCACGTGCAATTACTCCTGTAAATTTGTCGTAAACATTCAACTTACATCTGAAATTTAACTGAACAAAAATAAAAATGGAAACATTAATAATATTAATGATTAATATGCGACAAAAAGGTTTATTTATTGAAGCAAATATCAAGATTTATATATTGAAAGTTATTATCGAAAAATAAATATTTAGTTTACGATAAAAGTACTCTACGGTACTTATACATTTCGTGATAAAATGAAAGAATTTTCAGTATCTTTCAAAATTTATACTTTGTATAAAGATGATGTATATACAGATCTAAAAACTGCCCTTCTCTTAGATTTAGGCAAACAAAAAGATATTATTTCATAAAAAACGGAAAGGAAGTTGAAGGTATCATTCCTACATGGTAATACCATGTTTTTTATTTTTCATATCTTCTTATTTAGTCGTTCTGAGGAACTGTCAGGTTATTATATTATATAATCTCTTCTGACCTTACTGCACTATAACACTGTCGTCGCTTGTCTACCATTTTACTTGACTTTAATATTAAGATGCATCTTTTGAAAATTTTTACTAACCGGTGGTCACTAGTGGACATTCGCGTCTGACCAACTGCTCTCACGGCACATTATGGTCTGAAAGAAATAGGCCAGATTTCTCGATAGTTTTCATGGTTCGTTTCATTCATAGTATAGCAATTTATAGAAAATTATTTTTTCTTGTACGTAATAAATAGATTGATGTGAAAAGTTCTTTCAAATTCAATTTGAATATTTTTTTGATCACTTGACACATATTTATGTATCTACTTTTGCCCATTCATTGCTGTACATAATTTTGATAATGGTTTAAACTGTGGTATAGATATAAATTTGTTGCAAATATAACCAATGTGATTTTTCAACATTCTGAGGAAGGTACAGGAATGTATATACAAACGTTGCGTTGAAATAAATAGCATATATTATAATACGTTTGCCACGCCATACGCCACACCCCTTGCCATTTTACTCAAGTATGTATCTTCCCTTTAGGCTTAAGATTACTAGGTCAATTGTTTTGTAAACAACTACGCATACTTAGTTTGTCTTTAAGTGTTTTAATCCTCAAGATTACTAAATAATGTTAATATTTTACGTTTATTCAGCTTATTACTGGTGAATATATGTCTAAATTCTAAATAAACTAATATTATGATTTCTTCTTCAATGTTTTGTTTCTTCTGTTTCTCTCAACATATTCATTATTTCTTCAATTTTCACTCCATGAATTACTTTCGATCTGTATTGAAACTCTATCGATTAATAAATATATTTAAGAAAATATATAAAAAGTAACAAGGATAAGTTCTAATCAAATAAGATCCGAAAGTATAGTATCTACAAAATAAAAGTACAAAAGGTTTTTATTTATTAATACAAAATTATACTGGCACTATGTAAACTAAAGCTATAAAATTAGAGAACTAATATTAAATGAACTTGAAATATGTTATCAATATCATCATTCTAAATAACTTTTGTTCATACATGTTATTGGCATCCGGCCTTAGTTTTCGAGATATACGTAAAAATATATTTAACATTAAGCATTTTATAACACTTTGGATTAAATTTTTGCTAAATTAGAACTAGATTTGACTTGTGTTCAGATTTGATAATGAATAAAATAATTACAATTTATAATTCTGAAATTTAGTAGGGACGAGATGTCGGACGTTTTATGTTCTGTTAAATTCTGTTTAAAATTATGAAAATCGCTAAGCAGACGTTAATATATTATCTCAAGATTGTTTGCGAATGTCTCAGAAACTAAGGTCTAGAGTTGGTGACACGTACTTAGAAGGAATTTTGCTCAGAACCTCGTCTGTGACAAGATATTTCGAGATCATCACAATCACACGATGAGGAATCACTAATCTATATAATTGTTTAGAAATAATTTTCTGTAAATAGTTTTTATTAAATTCTTTAGAATTTATTAGGTTTCCCAAGTTTTTTTTAGATATAAGTAATATACGTGTATATAAGTTTCATATTTCTTATTTAAACTGAACATATGGAGAATAAACGAATAAAAGTAGATTCAACTTATATAATTACTTGCGAAAATAACTGTGGAATCTTAAAAATGTAAATGAATAAACAAAATTTGTATGTACCAATGGATTCTGTTTAGCAATAAGGAGATCATGAAGTGTGTAATTTTAATAATCCCATGTTTCTTATTCCATTTATATAATTGTTATATTAATCATTCTTTTACGAAAAAGAACACTGATACAATCTGTTGAATAGTTCTCAAGTAATATAGAACAATGTTAGTTTGTTATTTGTTTTCCATCTAGGTACTCCGAAGAAAATAAAAAAATAGTAAAAGTAGCATGTAAGACATTGCAGGACATGCAAATACTAGTGTTACACTTGTGCGATAAGCGTACTTTCTATGCCACGGTTAATCTTACGGACAGAATGAACCTTTCAAAGGAAATGTACAGACCGCCTAAATTGTACTTTTCATGTTTGTCAGTCCTTGACCGAGATGATCTTTAGAAAAATGCAAGATAATGAAAGATCCAATAGAACAGAACACTTTCACTTGTACTCATCCCATCCTTACACGTTTACCGTCCCTTCTGCAATCAGAGGCGTGGTGCAACTGAAGATCAACCGGCACATTTCTACGGGATATTGAGCTACAAAGGTTTGTCAAGTCATGTCACGTTATGTGACTATTAATTCTGATAGCAGTGATGCCTTATATCTACGCGTATCATTAAGTACTCAAGAGCTTTTTATTCAAGGAAAATTTGTACAGTATGTCTTGTTGCTATTAGGTCATCTTCTGAGCAATACAGTTCCATCAAAATGTGTATTACTTCTCACATTCGTTCACACGGGGCTAGTACATTTACTTACTTCATAGGTATCTACGTTGTAAGATCACATTGTCAGTCTTAATCTTACCAAAATTTTAGGTTCACTATGGATTAAATCTTTCAGATGAAATCATGCTTTTACTTCTAAAATAAATATTATTTTAGGATAGAAGTAAGACAAAAAATATAGCCAAATCTTATATTTATTTATATATAATATTATTACATATAAGACTAATATATTTGTTCATTATGTTTCTCGGTTCTTATTTGTCATCTTTCAGTAATATTCTTCGGAAATATTTTTCACTCTTTTTGTGCTGTTTCCATAACTGATTCAAATTTGAAATTTGATTGTTAAAATGAACCATTGATATCTTCAAATAAGGCCCAGTATTCAATAAAGTTTGCAGCTAAGAACTAGAATAGCTATTTGAAAATTTCAAATATCTTGCTCGACAACCAACATATCATAATTGAATAGCACATGTACTGGATCTTCATGGCCTTTCATCATTTCTTTAATGGATATCTCTTACTTTTTTAAATTATTGAAATAATAATGTAATAATAATGATTTTCTGAAATAATAATGTAATATAGTGCTATTCTGCCATTTATTTTGCAAATCTCACCAAACGTGCAAGCAAATATACTTCCAAATCATAACAATGTCTCTTCTGAATTTAATAATGACTTTAACATGTCTCTTTTAGAATTTCGTTCTCAGCATACTTACTCATTCTCTAGGATTTGATCGAATTCCACTTATTTTCGCTTCGTCAAATTAAATGGTATTCGGTGGTATAATTTGATATAAATTCGATATCTTTTGGAAAATGTTAAAGCATAGCCATTCGCTTTTTTTGTCATACGTAATAGAATAATATATTATTCTTGCTCTCGAAGCTAATTTGTCAGATCGTATAAAATATTCTTGTATTTGTACTAATAATAATGTCATCTAACCAAATGATTTTCAAGCGATCGATTTGTGATGAGTTTCCTTGTAAATCCGTTATATTACTTACTACAACTAAAAAATTTTCTTTATTTCTAATTGCTATTGTTAGCAATATTATTAGCAAAATTATGCGACAGAAGAGTCTTTTCGCGGCAAATCCGACGATCTTTTTCAAATTTAGAGTGGTTTATCTTACCCTACGTTTTGAAAGTATATCGTAATAAACTGGTATAATGACAACCCTAAAGTCAATTTTACAATCTATATAAATACATTACATTTACTTAACTACTTGAGGACTGATAACAAAGTAAGAAAGTTAAAAATACAGGAAACAAAGTTGAAAACAGTATAACATGTGATAAAATGCGATGTGACAGGGCGTGATCGTTATTATGAAAGCCTTGGGTGACGGAAATAGAATATCTAAACAAATAGGAGTATTTATCCGTGTATAATGACTGTTACATCGTGGAAATTAATCATTCTTCTTTATTTTCTGGTATATGTACAAACATCGCGTCCAGTTACAAGATAACGATTCAATTCAAGCCTCGTACGTTTTGGAGTTATTCGATCAGTAGATTTTGCCTAATATCTTCGGAAAGGATTTGAGTTGTAAGGTTGTCTATAATCTGAATCATCGGGTCCTGGCGGATTGGCGGCCAGTGCTCGTCTAATAGCTTCTGGAATCGGAGGTGGTGTTGGCAAGTGTGCACCTTGAGGATGAAAACCATTCTCGTCAGCCGTATACTCGACAGTGATGGGAGTTCCATCTGGCGCAGAATACGAATATCTGCCTTGGACAACCTAAAAAAGCAATGCATATTGAACTACAAAACGTTCGCTACTTTCAATTTACAAGTTAATAAACCTCTAGTGTATGCAATTTATCAGCCTGCGTATACAATTATTTCGTGACATTTTTTAAGAAGTAAATCTTTGTTCTAATAAGGATAATTCTTCAACATTATATTATGAGTGAAGTAAGAACATATTTTCAATACTTTGCAATCGATTAGCCGCAGATTCTTCTGTGTCTACCTCTTTTCGGGTTAGTATAATAATATTTTAAAAATATTTTGCGTGACGATTGCTTTTTACCAACATGCCCTAGGGAATACCGAGGCTTGTATTTTAAGCCTACAGTTTCTTTCTTTTTAAAGATGTCATTGTGTCATAATTATTGATTTATTGTTTTAATACTCTGCAGAAGGAAGATACATATTTTTCATATAATCATATAAGCTGTATCTTTAAAAATAATAAAATTTTGAACTTTTAGTTTATTTTGTAATTAATTCATTTTTTAACTGTCAATTTTCAACAATTTTCAAAACTATAATAATAAGTAGATTCAGAAATGGTTCTTGCATTTCGTTACTCCAGTTTGTCGTGAAAAAATTTTATCTTTCAAATATAAGAATAATTTCGTTACTAGTTTTATTATTTGCATATATTAAAATTTAAATTGAATAAATATGCAAAATATAGAGTCATATGTGTAGAATCAACCTCGTAAAATTAATTTATTACCTCGGCTTGGCCTTGCGAGGTACCTGAAGGGCGTCCACTTTCGGCAACCGAAATGCCATTCTCGGTATCATAGCTAAAGGTATAAGATCCATCTGGGTAACTATCCTTTTGCTGGCTACGAATGGCTATAAACCTACCAGGTGAACTGTAACAAAATGATACTTCCTTGTTACGTTGGCGTTGTTACCATCATTATTACTAAATTTAAAATAAAATATACAATTAAACTATTGTTATCAAGCTAGAAAATGATCTTTCTAAGCTTTATTTACAGATCCACGCGACAACCTTTGTTCGATATCAAATATCAATTGCAGCATTTATTTGGTTCGTATTGCGTGTTTACTTAAGAATTATATGAGCTAAACGCCTCAAGTACTGATTTACACGTATTCATACTAATTTACATTTCCATATTAAATAAACGGAGACTATTATTTTAAAAGAAAAATGTTGATGGAATTATAAATAAGATACACGCTAATTAATTATAGGCATTGCATTTAAATTATGTACAAAGAAGATAATGTCTATATTACAATGTATAAAATTTCTTTTATTTTATATTGTTAGAAAAATATAAGTTAATTAATTACAAATTCTTAATTTATAATTATATAGAAAAGAGATTAAGTATTTAATATTTTAATGATATTAATAGTATTCATTTCTCAGCTTAACGACCAATTATAGACTGATGTTTTTCGAAAAGTGCAATTAAAAATTTTCGTATTAGTTGCACATGTTATTGAATACGATATTTAACCACTAATTAATGAATAACAGACGAAAATTATTTAATCTCAAACGATTATAGTTTTTATTGTTAGTAACATGAAAATAATAAATGATCAGTAATACGAATATAATCGGAAATAAGAATTTTTTTACTACACATATAACCCATTTTAATTATAAAGAAATGTTATTTCATTCTGGAGAATTTTTCAAATGACTATTTTGACACATTTCCAATGTAATGGTTTCAACATTTTCGTCATTTTAACTCATGGAATTCGAAATGCGCTTTTTAATTGCCATTTAACTTGACCCAGCAAAATTATAAAATTTAAAATTCAATATTAAATTTTGAATTTAAACATCGAAGTAAAATAGTTTCGCCCTTTAATTTATGCAAAATACATCTTTATGTTAGTTGCGAAAAGTATCACTAATACTTTATCAGAAAATAATAAATATTTGTTGAAAAAAATATTCTCGAATGCAAGGGATTAATATTTCATACAGGAGTAAATACATACTTATACTGTGGCGTATATTGAGGTTGTGGTTGATAGGTTGGTCTAGGCGTTGTTCTAAATGCATTTTGATTAGGAAAACCACGAAAACCTCCATATTGTCCTAGAGCGCAGCAGAATAAGGTAAATAAAAGAAACTGAAATCATAAAATATTTATTATTATAATTTTTAATAAAAATTAATTATAATGAATGCATTATATTTTATATTAACGTGTCAGTATTTGTAAATGTCGCTAATGACCAGAATGATGGATGTTATCTTAATAAATAAATATAAAGATAGAGAACTTTTTAAATTAGTAAAAATAATTTTATTATTTTATATTTAGGTTGATGATTTCATGACTATTGCATATGAGTTCATTATATTTTCATGTATTTCACAGAACTTTACAGAATTAATTGTATTTAAAATACAAATAAGAGGTAATAAGATATTTTTAGCATAATTAAATTACAAACGAAATAAAACATACCGAGATAAAAAAAACTCAGTTCATTAGTATAACGTTTCGATTATTTGTACGCAGTAAATTTATCGGCTTTTAATTATTAAAGACTTTTAGTATGTAATTACTAATATTATAAAGTTTTATCCAATGAAAAGGTATATATGAAATTGTTATAAATATTTATGAAAAATTAGTAAAAGTATTGAATGTATTTCTTTATTTTGGAAAAATTCTATCGTACTAAATTTTAAAAATATACATTTCAAATTTTTATTACTTTGACTATGTAGTTTTCTGTTTCATAATAGTAATTCATATTGTTTCTCTATCACTCAAAAATAACACATAAAAAATATGAAAATTTATGTGATCTCTTCGAATTAAATCTTTTTCATTCATAAAAATATCTTTTGAATATTTTGTTCTGTAGTAAAGATATTTATTGCTATAAGCAAGCAAAGAAATACATATTATGGTTTAGAATGAAATATCCACTGCCGAAACATCGAAACAAAGCTCATGAACAAAGGTCTAATTAGTCGAAGTTATGTTCATTCGCTAGATGCATAAACAAATTTCCAACGATAGTCACTTGCGAAAACTTCGTATTCCGTCAAGACAATGTAAGCATGTATACAGTGGTGAGTAAAGGACGAGCATTTCAGAGTGGTTGACAAGACATCCTGATCTGAATATAATAGAACATTCTTAAGTATAATTGGCAACAACCATAAATCAAAGAACGACAATTTGTCAGTGTTATAAAACTCAAAAATCTGCATTGATCATCAACGAATTTCAATGTTATTTTGTCATATAATTAAATGACTTTATTTTCTAATTTTTTCTAATAACGTTTACAGTAATAATGAAATATAACGTACTATATAATGAGATTCTTCACAGATCAAAAGTTGTTAAATTTATTATGTAAAAATTGGGGAAAATTTGAATTTATAGAGAAAACTATCTCTGTAGTGTACGATATGTACAATAGATTAGATATTATGGATTAGCGATTAAAGAAGTATAAAACGTCCTTAGTTTGATTAAAGTCAAGATGTATAGTACTTTCGAATCGATACTAGATTTCGTTCACTTTGATTTCATCTCACTCGAACGTTGATAAGCGTCAATAGAAAACACTCACTAAACGTTGCATGATGTCCGATCCTGTGTTATGATGTTGATTTGAACAAGACCAAACCTGCAATACCACATGCAAGTACTGCCGGCATTTATATGAAGACAAGGCAGAAGATCTTCCCTTTCCATTCTCCCTGTTCATGCATTTAACCACTCTCCTTAGAATTTCTAGTCGCCCTCACATCTTTGCCCCACCTCAACCCTAACCGTGAGGACCTTAGGTTCTACGGTTAATGTTACTAAATATGAACTTACTAGCGGTAAGTAGACCACGGAATTTTATTTACTAAACATTACACAGGATTTTTTACAATTATCCAATGTGTTAGGTCATCCCGTAAGCAGTGGGATTTTTATAAACTTCTTTTATTTTTTAAAATTAAGATAAACTAAACCTTTCTTAACATAAAATATATTCTTCATTAATTCTTTCATTGGCTGTAGATAACGAAGGAGAATATATTTCGTATCAGAAAATGTTTTACTTATCGTAATTTTTTCAAATAGCAGATGTAGAAAAGAATTATGATTAAGAATATTCATGGGATGACCCAATAATTTCGTTTTATTAACTTACTAAAATAATTCACAAGGGGAGTCCATGGAATTTCAGTTTCTCCGTTGCATTGAAAAGTAGGTATTTAAATTTGCACGAACTTCTGCAATCTAGCACAAATTTTTTGTTACATTTCTTTACGTATAAATAGGAATTTGTACTGTAGATCTAATATTATACTTTAGTAAAATGGAAGAATAGTAAAGCTTGTTTCGTCGACGTCGATAATACTAGCGGGCAAATATACTATAGACATATTTTAAGTGAACGTATATTACATTAAAATCTCAGAAAAGTCTTAGTATTATTAAGTCTTACCATTTAATCTTCTGATACTCCTTATTTGGAATAGAGGAATGTTTATATAACGATCACAAAATATTTTAGCAGATGTTAGTATCACAATTATAAATTTCTATAAGAATGTTAAAAAAGTTAACATTGTAGATGTATTGTCACAGAGAATATTTTGAATACGATCGTTAATTATTATTAAGAAATATATTAAAAATAATAATTATTATCAGCATGATCGTAGTACCATATTTCTGTTATAAATTCATGTAGCTATTATTCAAACAATTTAAGCATTACCATTATTTGCACCACAAATGTAGAATTTTACAAATAGAAAGTGATTTTCATTTTTATGATGTTGCTCAGGTGTTCAATACATTCTATATAAACTTTTCCCTGTGAGAAAATGATATGCAATATCACGCGCCAAACATTATATGCGATTTTCCTAAATGCATTTACTATTCGTATCAAACGTGTATAGTACAATTAACATGCTAGTATATATTGAGGTTTTCAGAAATCGTTTCGTCTTAAGTAAATGTAGGTGACACAGTACATTTTTATGATCCTCTCTTAAATAGAGGTTAGTGAAACGAGTTCAAAAGGTTATAACAAAAGGTCATTCTAAGGCGTAGAAGGTTGCAAAGTTGCTTTCTAGTGATCCTCTAATAGATTGAGAATTTACTTTCTTTAAAATATTAAAAAATTCGTACAGTTATGTATAAATGTTACTCTAATGAAACCGTTCATGAGGCGATTCAGATACTGATACAATGAATCTGTTGGAAAGGACTCAACTACTTAGAAATAAACCGAATACATAATAGTTTTGTTTTGTAACGTTATTTAACAATGTAATATTATTCTAGAATTGTTGTGGGCATAATCTGTCCAAGTTGTAATAAAAGGTATAAATTTTATAAACGAATTTTTTATAGATTATACATAAAATTTATTGTACAAAATTTTTTATTTTTGTATGGATATTCATTATAATTCCTACATAGTAAACGATCTTACTTCAATAATAAATATTATTATTTGATACATACATAATACATACTTTAATACATTATTTAATACAACATGTATTAAAATTAGTTTCTAATAGTAGTTTCTAACAGTTCTAATAGCTAACAACAAAATGTAACTAACAAAGGAGATAATAAAAAGATAGGTATATTAAGTTTTATGATATGTTATTAATCATATAATAAAAATATATTCCATTAATAATCAATCATTTTTACACATTGTCCAATATATTTTTATTCTTCTCAGTCCAGAAGATTGTTAACAGTATCTTCTCTTAAAGTGCATTCTTTATAAACATAATTACATGCTTACATAAAAGTCGCATTTGATTTAACAGACAGTTTTATTAAGCTAAGAACGTACTAATGCCGAAAGATTCTTAATGTACATAATCCCTTACGTATGAAGGTACTTTATGTACCACTCACATTATGAATTTAATTTATGGCTCTACAGATACATTTACGCCTCTATGAGTGCCAATAAGATTTATATTTCGCTTGTCGCATTAGTAGAACTGCCGTAAGTACTTAAAATTAAGATACCAATAATATGCATAGCTATGTGTCTGGTATAAAATTCCATTCTTTTTTTGTTATTAATTTTATTTTGCGTTTAAACAATATTGAAAATTAACAAATAAATAGTTATTTCAAGAACGTTTCCTTGAAACAATTGGCATATAAAATATATAAGTGTTAAAGTGATGTACAACTTAATGAAGTGCTAATTTTCATTACTTTGTTATTAATTTGTAAATTTACGCTTATATATTTATATCACAAAAACAAAATTTTCTTAATTACCCCATAATTATCGATTATTCTTAAATTCGTAATTTGTTTTCTTCAACGGCGTAAGAACATTATATTAAGAGCGTTCAGAACATTGAAAATGTAAATAAAGAAGTAGGAAAATTTTGGTAATCATTGTTCATTTCAGAAAGAAGAGCTTAGCATAATATATTAAATAAATGTAAAAATTGATCTATCATGAAATTTGAAAAAGCATTTGAAATATAAGTATATTTTAATAAGTAGACAACATATTACTCTTTGTTTTAGAGAAAAGTGTGGACAGATCACCTATTTCCATAAGAATAAATATTTAATTTTAGAATAAATATCGTAGATTTCAAACTGTCCGACTTCTCTGCAGGAAATACTTTAGGAATATTAAAAAGCATCAATTTTACTGTTCCTGGTTTATTGAAGCGCCAGTGAAAAAGAGAGTTGAGCACAATCTATGCTTATTGTCGCAATTCGGAAGGTAACGTATAACCGGATTCAAAACTGTGTAGCGGATCAGTTTACATAATTTCTAGGTACGTTGCTCACCTGGGAGGATCCCGAAGGTATGCGCTCTATCCGTTTCTTTATGAGAGCCGAAGCGTTGCTAAGATGATGGGGCATACCTAAGCTGACGTGGTTAATAAAACGAGAAAGGTCAAACTAGATCCAGGTAACGCTTCGACCTGCTTGTCAGATAGCAAGATCTAGAATCATCTTGAGTAAGCCTTATCAAAAGATTTCGTCTACTGAGCAATATTAATCCATATTTCGCTGGCATTGCAACACTCTAGAAATTGTCTTTTTTACAATTACAAGAGTGGTTCCGAAAAATACAGTATAAATTTCAGATCATCCGATCAACGTCGATTTAATTTTATATCAAAAATTGATGTTACAAATCTTTCACTGCACAGAAGACCTTCGATGAACAGTATTCCAGCAGAAATAATCTACGGTAACATAGGTTACGTAATTGAAATGATGAGGATAATCGAAGATGAAAATGCAAATTATAGATACAAAATTACTTTGTATCTATAATGGATTTACATTTACACAAGTATAATATACTCTCAGTCCAAATATTTTTTTTTTGAACTTATGATGAATGATTTTTAATATTTACTTTGCGCGTTAAATTGCGACGTACAATAAAACGATTATACTGCATATGTTCGAAGATATTGTTTTTGAAGTGTCAGTTTGAGGCAAAGCAGTATATTTCTCAGGGAAGTCTATTTTTTAAGTGATATTTTTATTTTCGAATCTTAAAAATAACAAAATAATTAAACAGTTTTAAATATTATACATCGTACGAACTAGATATCTTTAAACTATTCTTGTCAAAGTTATGTAGAAACTACTCTTATATTTTGAAAAGATAATGATAACGAAGAACGAATCATTCATTTTGTAAGAATGTACAAGTTTTATATGCCATGTAGCAACAGATTCTTTGAAATTTGAGTAATAGTGTAAGTATAACTACTATAATAATTACAGGCATGATAATTACAAGTATTGAGTGTTAGCATTACATTCTGCGTCACTAGCTTTGCTACGGATGGATAACAAGAAATTTTAAGGTTTATACAAAATAATAAATATTATTGAAATATATCTAATTTTTAAATATTTGTTAAACAGACATTTTTAATACCATAAAAGACTTTTACCATGTAATAAATGATAAATAACTAAACACAATTTAAAGTAAAAATCAGCTGGCTATAGAAATAGTTAGTAATGATTAATATCTAATCGAAAAAAGATTAAAAAGCATTAGAGAAAAATTCAAATTTTTGGAAGTATTAAGATCGTAGTTCATTTTAAATTGTTTCAATATAGAATATAATATAGATAATACAACAATATGTAGTAAAATGAATAAATATTTATTCGTACATAAAATATCTGAATATTTATAGATATGTGTATCTCACATACGTGTCATATTCGAAATCTGTTTTATATCAAGCAGACAAATTTTATGGTAGTTAATTTTTTTAACAGAGTCCTGCATGATATTATTCATAATATGATTATATTTTCTATAGTTGGCTCAAAGCATAAATTTTACATTCTCGAAATTCAAATTCACAATTTCATAACGTTTCGAAACTTGAAATGCTGGTTTTGTTCTATAAAATAAATACTTCGTTTTAAAAACTGAAATCAACAGTTTTACATAAATCTTTATTGACATGGCATAATAAAATACGAATGAAAATGCATACAACAATATACAAAATACCTAATTTAGATATTTGTGTAAGAATACTAACATTCGAAATCAGTCTATATCTTCATTCTTTCTTTATTCTTTCTTCAGGCGCTGAACGATCCTTTATCGTTGATTCACATATTTTCTTACTTGAATTTCTAGAATGTCAAATCTCAAAAAGTGCATATTTTTGAATTTTTAATGCTTTGA